CCCCCTCCCCCCACCACCACCACTACGCTTGCGCTCGACGCATATCCATGATAACATTTCGAAGTCATAGAGAAGTCATTAAAGTTACACAGCTATATCTTTATTACTGTACTACCGGTATAGCAAAGCCTAGCTATCATAGATTTTAGATCTGTATTAGTAGTATCCTAGATATATGCTCTGAACGCGAACCCGGTGGCGGGAGGGCGCACTTGATTCGGTTGCCAGTGAGTTTATCAGAAGAATACCCGGCTACAGTACACGTCAGTTGAGCGCTGTCGCTCTGCTGCACTTGTTAGGCCCAAATTTTATCCCTAGAATTTTACAGAGATAATACATTTGAAGGGTTGGAAGACATACTTGATTTGGTTACAAGTATATTTCAGTCTCGGGTTCTGCTATCTGCTTTGCCCTTGACTTATATAGGTGGGAAATATCAAATCAAAACAGCTCTTGTACAATAATTAGTCTATAAGAATTTAGTTCATGGTCATTGGTCAACAGGAAATACATCAAGATCAGACAGGATTATGTTCTGGTTTTGAACTGATCAGGCTACAATTTCTGAAGAACTTGCATAGACTTTTACTTGGGTTATTATATAGGAAAAACAACACGGTTTCAGGCCAGAAACTATAGCACAACTTTTACATGGGCATATACTGTATGTCATTGTACAATTCATTATAGTGCACATTGCCTGTTTTTCTTGTAAAGGTTACAAGCGGTTTCCTACCAATACCAAAGAAAGACGAGGGAGAGGTATATCACCACACAGAGCTATTGCTCACTACACTCGGCCCACCTGCTCCTAACGAAGAAGATATCGTCACGGCTGGGTGAGACAGTTTTATCTGATTTATTTTTAAAGTTAACATTCATCTAAATCTGATATATCTATAATTATTATGGCTAATAACTGTTATCCATAGTACCACACTATATTTACGTAACATATACTATTGCAGATAATAGTTAAAAAATTGTTTCTCTATATTGAAAATGGATTGATCAGAAAGAGTAATCAATGGCAGCAGAAACAAATGTTCACTAATTCCCAGTGTCCATTGGTTGCACGTGTATAGATCACGCCATTGCTAAGGCACACCTGACTTAGAGCGGAAAGGTCTGGTGTTCTAGTCCCAGCATAGTCATACATTTTATGCATTTGAGCAAGGCAATTTATCCTTATTTGATTCATTCAACGAATCAACATCAGCTGTAGAAATGGGCTTCTATCACCAGCATAAGGTTAACATCAAAGAGCAACCTCACTCAGCGAGTACGTTTGCTAGACACTGCGTAATTGTTATGGACTCCAAATCAAAGCAGTTGCTGAGGACCTATGCTCTATGATTGGAGCAGGGCTTGAAACTAACGCTTGCCCGCTCACCCGAGGCTAGTAGAAATCAGTAAGGGCTAGTAGAATGTCTGGGCTGACCAGCCCTGTTGGCGAGTGAGAATGCCTACCAGATAACATATTACTAGTACTTTTTCAGCAACTACTAACCCGACCGAACTAGTAATAAGTAATATAAAATTTGCGCTTCAGCGCGGCACTTCAGAAAAGTACGGGCTGGGAGATATTTTTAAGGGCTAGTAGATTTTACAGGTCACTAGCCCTGTTGGCTAGTGAACATTTTAGGTTAGTTTCAAGCCCTGTGGAGCCAAGCGTTTGAAAAATAGTCAGCTGCTTGTTAATGCCAGTACCCAAAACAAACAGCAATAAACAGAAGGACCGGTCACGACGCATGGCAAGCGGATCCACTTGCACGTGATTTTATTGCTGTTGTAGGTATATGAACCATGTGCGGAGCGAAGAAGATAAAGAGAGGGCAGGAGGCTACACGTTTAAGCTTGCGTGCGTGCGTGCATTGCAGGATGCGATGCAGGGTTTGTTCTTCACTCCTGAGCCTCACACGTCACTCGAACAAGAAGAGAGCTACAACGACGTGGCGTGATTGCTGCTGGTGGCTAGGCATTGATCTGCCACGACCCGAATTCTCGCCAATTCTAGAAAATAAAATTCCAAATCTATATACATACATTTCCATCACCTAGTTTTCCTTCCTGTGGCTACGCCTATAAATAACCGATGCAAGTGTGTATGTGAAATAGTACGAATGTCACATATTTTTGATCGCAATGTGCATTCCATGGCTCCCCTGACTAATGAATAAGCAGGAGTGAAGCATGGAAGCATAAACAACCATGCAGTTGATTTTTGGCATTCATGTGCATCAATCTAATGGCACTGGCTTATAAGCCAGTCTAGCCAGCACCTGAAACTTGATTAGGTAGCCTTCAATGAAATTCAACTTGCCATAAAAATGCAATTTATTAGTTCCGTTTTGATATTTTCAACAGGTCATTACTATGTTGTGTACCTCCAATTTCTCATAAATTTTTGTTTTATTCATATGGCTAGAACTATAGTGCAGAAAAAACAATAACACGTGTAGGGTTTGTAAATATTGTAAATAAGTTTACAAAATAAATTATTTTGAATTTTGCATGGAAGTGACTGTTATTTAGTCTGTGTAAGAGTTTTCTTATAAATGCTGAAAATGATTTGTACTTGTGTATTAAGTTAATGTGTTGCCATAATGCCTAAATGACAATGGGAATTGGTGTTTATTTACATGAAATTCATCTTATTCATTGACACGATGTCAGTAATTCACAAATAATTCTACTCTAGCAGGCGTAAATTTTTGGAAAAACCAAGACCTACAAAATATATACGCGTTTACTTGATACATTTGCATGCCGCATTGCTACACCTGTAGAACAAGCTACTGTTTAAAGCAACAGCTGTCGTTTATTTGTAGAAAAAAATCAGGGGAAAGGAAATACAAGACACCACGCAGCAGCACACAAGAAACTTACGTGATTAGCCAATCATATATTTTAGAAAAATACGATTAATCCTTAAACCACTTTCTTATAATAGAGAAAAAATAGTGGGTGAAACATGCTTTACACTTTCTCATGATCATACAATGTCAATTTTATTATGCTCTCACTCTACCATAAATGTATAATTTTTACAACAAAGAGAGATAGGAACAGACACTTCTACAAGTAGAGTGCCAAGCTTCTATGAAGCCACCGCTACAATGTCTTGATTTATAAACTTTGAAGGTACTAACGGCTGATGAAAAGCCTTCAACCATCGCCACTCACTTGAGTTACGCGAGACCAGTGTAAGTGTATTGTGTACATATTCTCTCTCTTACTACATCTGCATGTTATGAACATCAATCTGCTCGTCACGTACTAACATTGAACATCACTATTTCACCAAGTGATGTACACATCACACACTATGCCATTTACTTTGACAATGACACAAGTACCAAGTACATTTTATTTCTTCTAGATACGAAGAACAGAAAACATTACAGAGGATTGCTTAATTACCTACTTGCTGTTTGGTACCATGCCTTTTTGAAATATAATCATGAATATTCACATTGCTGTTTCATTCGTAGACAATTCCCAAATAACACAGTGTGTACAATTACGGACAACTCGCGCATCACACTGTCCTAAAAAATATAGTGATCATCGTTCAGTATACAGAAAACATGTGGGTGCTGTCGGTAATGTGCAATACAAATTCTGCTTCTGTGAACAGTTCGCGCTCAACTTGAACACAAATACGTGCCTGACGAGTTCTGCGCGTGCAGCAAACCCTGTCGGACATGTGCTCGGGTCACCGTACATGCGTCTACTGTACACGCCCACTCTATCACGCCCCCCGCCGACGTCATCATCTCATGCTTCGACCCCGGGATCCTCGCATCATCTGCATTCGCATTGGGGGCGGACCGCGCATTCCATGCGGTCGCATGCCCATCATGCCGTGCACGCCCTGAGCGTTGTGCATCGGCATCATCCCGCGGCCGCCAGGGGGCGCCATGCCTCCTCGCATGCCGCCTCGACTCGGCATTCGCGTGACGGGACTCGGCGCACCGGGCCCGTCGTCCCACGGCCGCTTGTGCATCTCCATGCCGCCGCGCCCTCGCGCCGGCTGACTCCCGAATGCCCCGTCGTGTTCCCCAGGGAACTGTCCCGGTCCGCAGTACTCCTGGCCGTGATCCGGACCCTGGTTCTGCTGCTGCGAGTCCATCTCGTAGTTCTCCTGTGGATGGTAGTTGCCGCTCGGCGGACGGCCGAGTATGGATGCTCTTCCGGCCGGCAGCAGACCTCGGCCTCTCCCGAAGTCGCCCCCGCCGAATTGTCCTCTACCTCGCATCCTTGGTCCGGTCATTCCTCGCCCCGCCGGCGGACCGTCTTGAAAGTTATTAGGCTGAGGCATCTGCGGAGCGGGCCCAAGCAAGCTCGGCCTCACGGCAGGGGTGCCGCCTGCACCCAGTGGTCGCTGGCCTCGCCAAGGGGCATCACCTATAGGCCCTCCCTGTTGGACAGCTGGTTCCCTGTCACCTGCGTTAGCTAGGTCGCCCGAAAAACTATTGTTCCTGTTGCTGGTGGAATTATCTAAGTTGGGCTTGTCGGACGTTGGCTTCTCAGTGCTCGTGTTGTTCTCCACGTTGTTTTGAGCCCCGTGAGAGTTCTGTTTCGGCTTAGACTTTCCAGAATCGTCAGGAACCGGCAAGCTGGTGGTTGCTGACTGCCAGGCTTCTTCAAATTGCTTTGGTATTGGCTTCGCATATGGCGTCTTCTTAATGTGGACAGGTCGTGGAAAGTCAGCCCACTCGAGACCTGGAATGAGAGATTCCGCTGACTTTTCCTTGGGCCTTAAATGTTCTGGAATTCCATGTTCCAGTCCCATTCCTGGAATCACTGGGGCAACCTCTTCTCCGTCTGCTATTGTGATGGAGTCATCTAGACTCACATCTCCAACTGAAACATCATTACTAGCTTTATCCTTGAGTTTCTCTCCTGGCCTCGGTCGCGCCCAAAACTTGGTTGTGTGGTCGTTAGACCCAGTTGCAAGGATATGTCCTAGAGGGTGCCAAGCCATCGTCCACACCATATTCTCGTGAGCCAATTCAACGGATGCAACTTCCTTCTCCTGACCAACCTGCCAGTAAACAATGTCCCCGACAGATCCACCACTTGCGAAAAGAGACTCGTGCACTGGGTGCCAGGCTAAGCTGCAGGCTTCCTTCTTGTGGCCGCGGAATGTTTGCAGCTCCTTCATTGCACGGATGTCAAACACTTTGACAAGGTGGTCGCGCGATGCGGACAGCAGCCAGTTGCCATTCTGATTCCATCGCACAGACATCACAGTGCCCTTGTGTATGTGCAGAGTCGCGAGGCTTTGCCCGGTTTTCGGATCCCACAACTTCACGGGCTGCTGGGTGTCTTTGCTGCCGGATGCGAGCAGAGCTTTCTGCGGGTGCCAATCCACAAACTTGACGTCAGCTCCATGACCCCGGAGGATCTTCTCCTCGTGGCAGCGAAGAAAGTCCCACACTCTAACCGTTCCATCATCTGACGATGAGGCGAACTTGTTGTCAGTCGGACAGAAGCTCAGGGACCGCACGGACTCCTTGTGCGCTTGAAACATCTTTACGTTATTCATGTTCGTCTGCCAGTACTTAACGAAACCGGAGTGATCTCCTGTTATCATCCACTGGTCATTATGAGACCACACCATCGTACGACAAGCAGCGTCGTGGGCTTGCAAAATTGTCTCAAAATTGAATGTCAACCCGTTCCACAATGTAAACTCACCACTCGATGCTCCGGTGATGAGTCGTCTTCCCTCTGGCGTCCAACACACACAGAATATCGGGCACGGTAATTTATTCATAGAAGTTCGAATGCACTTTGTTGCTACGGAAACCACTGGGTTTTTGACGTAGGCAGCTGCCGGCATTATACTGCTCGTGTAGAGCGCATCTGGTTGGATGGCACGTTGATCACGACAGTCGCGTTGCCACACTCTATTCTCTAGATAGGTTACCCCATGGCTGTTATAATCAATTGTCCGTCTGTGAATGGTCTTGCGCATCCGCTTGCCATCGTAATTTGGGTTCATTAAGTTTCCACTTGGATCCAGTGATTGGCTCAGGGACGGCCTAAACTGAAATCCATAGTTGTGGCCGCGACCTCGCCCTCGTGGATAATTTGGGTTGAACCGTGGGTTGTAGTTAAACCGCGATGGCATAGAAAATGTCGGCCGATTAGCATCCATCTTGCTGGATATGCTGCTGGGCAGTTACCTAGATGTAGACAGAGAGAGAGAGCAAAGATCAAATGATTAATTAAATAGTTGATTATTAGATCGCAATCATTCTATATGATTACAAGAGCAACTGTGAAGAATCTACCAGTAGCTGGGCATAAATTTATTGATACCTCACTTCTGCTCATAGTAGGTATGTGACTATCCGCGCGAGGGAGATCTATAGCTGCAGAAAAATACAGGCATACTATACGTGCATAGTAAGCAAGCAGTATGTAATATATGTAGAGCAATTAGCATGAAATTGTATGAAATATAATTATAATGCAGAAACCAAAGAACGGGAGTAAAATACAAAAAGAGTATTGTCGTAAACAAGTTCGTACTATAGCAGTTTTGAGACACACGTTAATGGAAAGAGGCATGCTAAAAAACCAAAGGCAGTTAATTGTAGTGTTCTTTTCCATTTAATTCTGCACGGGAGGCATCTATAATGGAATTGATAGATAATAATTAGTTATTAAAACTAATCAGTAAGAGTCAGTCAAGGTCTAGAGACTTTTAACTCACCTAGTTTTCAGTTTTGTTTAGCATTTTGAAACGGCCTTCAATATCAGTCATGTTTTCGTTCAACAAAGCTCACGTTGGCATTACCAGACTAAATATCAAACTATATAAGGGTTCTATCTTGCTGTATAATGTGTGATTAAAATTGCAAGGAACACCTAAAAGAATAATAAATATATGCGACTTGCTACACACGTCTAACATTGACTTAGGCTGGCATCATGCGGCTTTCAGTGGGCGCAGTTACAGCGTAGACTGGTAGCGCCCGTCGATAGTTTCCACACGCACAGCTAACGCGTCAGATGCGTGAACAGGTACGCAGTCATATTAGCAACACTGGAAGAAACGAGTGACAGTGGCGCCTATGTCCGATTCAGCCAAGTCAGCAAAACGGCTTACGCCTTATGATCACACTAAGCTGTAAGATGCCCACAGGCGATATGGTTTACAAAATGATTTTGGGGGCATATAAGAACTGTTTTTCCAAAATTGTTGTGATGACGTATCTAAATAGATCTAACGAATTAGAAGGCATTGTAATGGTGGGTGTTTCTTTTTCAAGACGATGTCGGGAGAAGTTGATCTTTGAAGGCGTTGATTTCTTAAAAAATACAATTTTCACAATGATGCTAACTATTTAAAGCAGAAAAGAAACAGCAGCAGGTCGTAGACATCCTTACAGATAAACAGTAGGGTATGGTCTACATTATTAATCAAATAACAAGTGATATTAATGAGTTCTTATGGCTGCCCGCAAGAGGCCCCTCAAAGTTGGGCGCGTTCGAAAAATTTCGGTGCCGGTTGCGCGCTTCATGCCAGGATCGCTGCCTAGCCGCCGTTTACGTTTTGTTGGGTTTTTAGGCACGTTCTATCTCAAAAACGGTTTACGGTAAAAAATTCTGAATATAATAACATAAACGGTTGATGGCGCTTCTCTCTAAGACCACAAAGTTGTTTTCATAATATGATAATAATATTAAAAGTACAGTTTCTGAAGTAGCTACTACATTGACTTAACTGAAAATAGGTTGCTGAAATCTAGTTACAATATGGCGCGAGCGATCAGCATACCTAGTCGACTAGTAACAACAGAACAGCAATCACCGTTCAGCGGGTTTACCGCCCACACAGAAGTAAAGCGCACAACTCTCGTACTATAAGAGTATAGATATTAGTATAGTCTATAGACTAAGTGAAGTTTCAAATCTTATAAATGGATCAGCTAGTTAGTTGTAGTTAGTTAAGGATAATGGGTTGTTTTAGGCCTAGCCTAATAGTAAAGTATATGACGGGTTACACGATTCAGCGCCAAATCCACCCCAAATGCCATCCAAATCCAACCAAATCCACGGCCCCAAATCACTCAATCCTCCCCCAAATAATCCACCGCCCAAAGTCCACCGCCCAAATCCTACCCAATCCAGCCCGCCAAATCCACCAAATCGCACTCCGCAATCCACTGAAATTACTCGAAGCTATCAATTACCAAAATGATGGCCAAATCCACTGAAATTAACCTGAATTCAGTGGAATCAGTTTAACCCTAACCCCTAACGCGCTAACCCTAACCCTAACGCCTAACCCTAAGCGCATAACGCGAAATCCATTGAATTCAGCGTAATTGTGCAAGTGCAGAGTATTTGGGTGAATTTCAGTGGATTTGCTATCAATTTGGTTAACATTGAGTGAAGAAGTTCGAGTAAAATTTTAGTGATTTTGGTGATTTGGGGTGGATTTGTGATTTGGGTGGATTTTTGGTGATTTGGGTGATTGGTGATTTGGTGATTGTGGGTGATTGGGTGAATGCGTGTAACGGCGTAATGACGCCATATTTTGCGATTTCATGAATCGGTCGATTCTGGCCTTAAATAAGCTGTTTTCAAAATCTCTAATTAATAAGGATCACTGACACATCCATATTGAAGATTACCTACTTCCCGCTAGTCTATTTAGTGGTGTTAATAATTATAAATCCCACAAAGGTGGAAACTTGAAACTTCT